CATACGGGCTATTACTAACTGGCTCTTCTTACTAGTAATTTACATTGTTGCGTACATGTGTACTGTTTGGCTTACATAATTAAGAAACAATATGTCGTTCTCCACAAGATCAGCACAAGAAACTAACAAATAAAGACAAAACTTGGTAACAAGAATTATTTCGAATGGAGCATTCCTGTACAAGACTTGTGGGTTGTTGGCGGGTGCTCTGGTATGGTTTTCTCCGTCTTTCCTATCAAACATATATCGTCCTTTTCTCTCCTCCTTTTTTTGTGTTGGTTACTCTTTTACATCGCGGGTGGTTGGCGGGTGCTCTGGTGTGGTTTGCTTCTTCTTTCCTATCATACATCTATCATCCTTATCTCTCCTCCTTCTTTTTTTGCGTTTGTTACTCTCTTGTAACACCTCTAATCTTCGGCACTTATATGACCTTATTGTGTTGCAAGTGCCGTTGAACTCTTACTATAACTAGTCTTTTACATCAGCTCTATCTTCAACAGTTATACTACCTTATTGTGTTGAGAGTGCCGTAAAACTCTTATTAAAGACTGGTCTAATCTTCACAGAATGTTTGTTGAAATTTTCAACACATGTATAGTAAGTCCTGGGTGACTTTTGACCCAATGTAATAAAGACGAAAACATGTCATGTTGAGGTTCGATTTTTATCAATATAATACAAACAAAATTAATATTTTTATATCAAGGATCGTATTTTGACCCATATGGAATGCGTAGGAAAATATGTCATGGGTCGCTTTTTTTTAACCTTCATGTAAGACAGAAAAATATGACTTCGGTCGTTTTTTTAAACTTATATGGAATAAAGAGAAACATGTGTCATGGGTCGTTTTTTTAAATCTATATTGAAGAAAAAAAGGAGATCTTTTCACTAAAGGTACTAATCATTGTATCTAGGATTTATTTTGTGCTTTTGCCCAACGTGTTTCAGCAAAACTCACACAGAAATGTGCTGTAAAAAAAGGGAAGACAAATGGATTAAAACAGCCCACGAAGCGGAAGAATGCCTAAATCTTTGATTTCATTGTTATGATGAGATTCTGATTACATCATAAAATTAATAATTGTGAGACGTACTGACAAACTGAGTTACTTTTCGCAATCCTCAAATGGAAATATTGGTCAAAAGTCGACACAGGAGTCAAATTCATTTAATGTCATATTCTTCAGCTATAACATGTCTTTTATTATTTCATAGTAATACATTATAAAAACTTTACCCAGTATAAGCGTGATAGGCCAATACCTTTTTTCCATAAGTCTTGAATCCGAGAAGTACCTCATTTTGTCAGCACGCTTCACAATTATTATTAGACTCTATGTACCTAGGGTTTTTTTTTCTGCTGGGATGTTGTATAGGCCTAGACTCTGTACCTCTGAGCCTGTGTTGGCCCTGACAGGCAGGATCAGAGCCCGCCTCCTAAACCAGCGAAAAGTGAAACGTACCTACAAAATGAGTAACTTCTCGCAAACTAAGAAGAATGGAGATATTGACCGAAAATCGACACTGGAGTCGGATTTGTAGATTTCCAATTGTTACAATTAATTTTGTTCAAGTCTATCTTGTCTTTCATTATTCCACACTTACAACTTGCACAAACTCCACCTCTAAAGCGGCTGTATAGATGTCCATAAAGCTAAAATCCAAGAAGCAACTCGTTTTGTCAGCACTCCTCACAAATTGTTTTGATAGGAGAGTAAAACACCCGATTTTAAAAACAAAACAAAATATAGGCATGCAAAACAAACAGACAACGCAAGTGGGTTGAGTTTTTTTCTTGAGTGGGGGGAGGGGGGGGTTGTCTTTTTTTTAAGAGGAGGGGTGCTCTGCTATCATTTGCTCCTTTTTTCCTATCAAACATTATCGCCCTCATCACTCCTCCTTCTTTCTAGTGTTTGTTACTCTCTTGTAGCACGTTTAATCGTCGACACTTATATGACCTTATTGTGCTGTAAATGCCGTAAAATTCTTACTAGACCTGAAACAAAATATTAAGTCTTTTAAGAGACCACCCCCAAATCGTCACCTCACCTGGTAAATATCCACAATACAGAGAACAAAACAATCCCAACTGCTGCAGTATACACAAGTTTCCTTATTCGCACAGCCATGATGGTTTATGGACCTTTGCTTCGCCTGTGTGTGTGTGTGTGTGTGTGTGTGTGTGTGTCTCTCTCTCTCTATCTCGCTCGCAGCGCACAACAGTGTATGTCTCACCCA